TTTTTGCAAAAAATATGTTTCTATGACACACTACTAAAAATTTATTCATTTTCTTATACTCACTACCAGCAAAAAACAGTTGCAGCATAATGCATAAGTCTCGGTTTATCTAATAGAAAAACGTTAAAGTTTAAAAAGAAAAATTTTTTTGAAAAATGAATAATCACATGTACCAGTCTTTTTAAATCTCACAGTAAAATTTTTCTTTGATGACTTTCGATTTACCACTTTCTTTCTTCTTGTCACCTGTTCAGCACTTCGTAAAATGAAAGTAAAAATTCTTTCAGTTCTTCCCTTATGTAACAAACAGATGACGGCTAAAAAAAGCGTATTTTGCTTACCACAGCGACGGTGATAATAGTGAAACGAAAAGTCTGCTTATCAACTTGTAATGAAAGAATATTAAATCGTAAATGCTAAAGTTTTGTCGCTTACGATTGCTATCATAATTATCATTGAAATGCTTGCCTGTTACAAGTAAAAAATTTTGCTTGTTATGCTTTTTATTGCTTTTTTCATTATGCTGGTGTCAGAAGGGAAGAAATGGTGTGTTCTTCTTCCTCAATTTTAAAGAAGTTAACCATGCTCACTAGAATTTCTTTACAAGGCAGGAAAGCTGTTAGGCTCGATGTCTCCACTTGTAGAATTGCTTTTTAAAACAGCCCTCAAAAACTGTCTCTCACATTGTACTGAGATGGCACAGACGAGACACATAAAACCGTACCGTTTAGCATTTCTATTAAAAATACCATAGACCTTTATACTGTGAAACCAAAATGTTCCCGAAACAAAACCAGAGTAACTATTTTGAAGACCGGTTGATAGAAAGTGTCGTAAAAAGGTGTCTTGTTTTCAACCTTATAAAACTGATATTGTGTAACATTCCATTAAACTTGATTTGTTTAACTGTCAATGCTAAGAAGAAATTCAAGTGTTCTCAGACAATGAAGGTATAAACGGTTTATTCTCAAACTGTTCATTTTTTTTCATGAAAAGGTGAAGTGAAACAACTAATTTCTGAATAAGCCGCTAAGAGCGGCTATTTGCGCTGTTTTATGGCCATTTTAGCAGCTTTCTGCATAAACTTGCCTATCAAGATTCAAGGTGAAAAGTGAAAGAACGAAAAGAAAATGACAAAAAAATGAAAAAAGGACGAAACAATTCACATATGCGATTGCAGATCAAAAATAACAATTTGGTGCTCGTTTTCTTCTCAGACTTTTTCAAATTTGATCATTAAATAAATTTATTTGCTCTGTATAAAGTTCAAATGTTCTTGTACCATTCGTGTATATAGATGCTTAAATTTGTCGTTGTTACGAATATATATCAGCTTTTTGCTGCAAAAAGTATTAGAAATATTACGGCAAATTAGAGTGAAACAAATGCTATTAAAGCTGATTGAAAATTGCAAATGCATAGTGTTGATAATATTAGCAGGTTACAGACCGTACACTAAATTACAGTTTTCCTTCTAAAGAAAACAAAGTAACCAAAATTGACAGCATAATATTATTGTGTTCAAATTGCTGCTATAAATCAATGAAAATATTTATTTTATTTCTCTTAAAAACTTTTTTTGAATTTTACAAACATTCTAAAGTAATAAATTTTTAAGTTTAACAGAATCCACAAGTTTTAGGACATTTCTTTGTCATAAGTGATTTGTAAAGGGAGTTGCTACAGAGGTCCTTCTTTGTTTCACATTCACCTCCACTAGCATCTTCGCATGTGCTGCTGCCAGCAGCCGTCGTTGTTGCTGCTAAAAGGGGAAATTTTTGTCAGCGATTAAAAGAATAAGTTTCTGAAAAAGTGATAGCAACTAATGTTGATCGATGAACTCACCTGCGGCAGTCGTTGTTGCCGTGCCAGACGATTCTGAGCCACTGCTACCGCAGAAACCACAGGTAGCTGCGCATTTCGCAGTCATTAATTTTTTATATGCTGAATTGCTACAAAGTTGTTTTTTGGCTTGACATTCAGCAGGATCGGTGTCTACACAATCACCGCTTCCGCTTCCG